TTTTTCCTCATTTTTTTTCCTCTTCTCTCTGTACATTGTTACACTTACAGTTGAGTTACACAGAGAGAAACACAAAACTTGATAAAGGAAAAATTATAAATAGAAATTCATGAAAATAAAATGAACAATCACAAATATCTCAAACCACTTGCAAAAACCAACCAAAGTGGCATATTGCAGTTTTTTAAATTATTATTGTAATCAGACATTTCCTCTGGAAAAGAAGTTACAGCAATGTTATTGTTTTTTTTTTTTTTAGTTTAGGTTTTCGTTGGCAGATAGGGGACGACATTCTTAGCTGCTCGCTAATTTGATTAGTCTACATTAAAAGTTTGAGGGGGAACTGCTCATAATTCAAGATGAAGGGCCTAAACATTGTTAAAATTGTCTAGCGCTGTAGAAGAGATTTATTATAACTGTCTGCCTGTGGATACACTAAATATCCAATTTAAAGTAATAGAAATGTACATTTATAGACATTTGTATTTAGCTACTAAAAAGGTACATTATCTAGGACTACTTGTTTTCAGTTTTAAATTCAACTATTATTTAATTAATCCGACTCACATGCCAAACCCTCAACCGCACAACTCCCCTCCCCCCTTTAAAATCATTCCATGGCTGCTCATAGGAGATTAAATCAGTCGAGGGATTCAGCAAATATACAGTGCTCTGTTTTGAGAACTTATCGTTTATTATTAATTTTTTTTAGGCTATATCTTTAAATAGTTCAGCTTAAAGGGTTCATTAGGCAGTGAAATAGCATTACTGTATAAAATAGTTGTACTTTCAATAGTTTGCAAGGCTGTGTACAATTCAATAATATGATTCTCAAACAGGCATTAACATATTGTTTGGATTATCAATTCTGCTTGACAGATTTGAGTTGAGCCCAACTAAAGTGTGCAGATTGCACTGCCTTTATTTTTTATCAATCTATGTTAGTAATATGAGTAATAGCAGTATTAGAAGTAGCAGAAGTTCTAAGACTAAGTAAGACTAAGAATTAAAGGTAGAATGAGGAGGGCAGATAGTGATATTACTACTAATTCTACTAGAAGTGTACTTCAATACTAGTGCACTCTACTGACACCGCTGTTAAACTTAAAGCTCTAACTGCTATCAAATAGCTTTTATATCTATAATATGATACAAATAGTTGATATTATAAGATGAACTGAAAGTCTATTAACTATAGACACTATATAGTTGTACCGAAACGCAACTAAGAGCACACTTGAGCACAGCCTTGTAGATTGAGTCATGATGATAGTACATAAAATAAAGAACTACATCTACATGCAGTGAAAACTCAGTTGAGTACCAGGCAGTGCTATGTCTACAGAGAAAAGACTATAGTCACTATTTACCTATTCTACACACACACAGTGTATCAGAGCCAGGGATAGAGAGTGTATGAAGCTCTATGAATGCCTTAAGTTTAGACAAATAAATCTTTACAATAAATTATGGAAATAGAATGATTGAAAACTAGTTTAGACAGCAGTTAAGTAGTTTAGGCACTAGACTAAAGAGCAGGGGTTGGGAACCTTTTTGTCTGAGAGAGCCATGGACACCACATATTTTGAAAAGTAATTCTGTGAGAGCCATACATTATGTTTAAAACTAAAAAATCAAGTAAATGTGTGCATTTTGCGTAATTTCAACACTAAAAATGCAATAATTATGTCTCTGAATTCTTTTTAATAACATTGTTATGCTGTTGCTAATCAATAATGAGTATTTCTTACCATTAATGCGACTTTTTTTTTATAATTGAACATTTGTCTGCGAGCCAGATCCAGCCATCAATAGAGCCACATCTGGCTCGCGACCCATAGGTTCCCGACCCCTGCTATAGAATGAATGAAGTGTAGTTTTGACAGCCACTTTGGTGTAGTGTAATCAAATCTACAGCAGGGTAGTGTGAGTTACTGCAAGTGAGTGGTGTAGTGCAGTACAAAAATACCAGAGCACTGCCACTTGAATTAGTCCTTACACTGTACACTGTCTACAGCATGCAAGTGTAGTTTCAGTGTTGTTAGAGCCAGTGCTAGTGAAAAAATTAATTAATAATTGCCAAATTGTTTTGATTCCTTTTAATGATTTAATGTCACATCTAATTCACTCAGACTCAGACTTAGAATAGACTGTACTGAACAGTCATGAGTCATGAGTGTCCTCAGTGTAATTAATGACTGTAGAAGTAGTATTTGTATTAGTATAGTCCTCAATTCAATTGTCTATAGACATAGTCTATAGTGACAATACTAAAAATAAATGTCAATAGAGAATATAGTCATAGTCTAATTAATAGAGTATTTAATAGGACCTTTCAGTCAATACTCATCTATGAGGTAGAGTAGACTCTTAGACTAAATAATCGAAACTGTCAACAGTCAATTCCATATACAATACCGTTTACAGTATTTAGTGTTATTATTATGCTTTAAGTCACTGCTCTGCTAAGTTTAGTACTACACAGACAGACACAGGCTGTGTCTGTGTAGTACTAAACTTAGCAGAGCAGTGACTTAAACTTAAAGTTAAAGCAGGTCAGGGCACAGTCCAGCTCCATACTCCACTGATTTTTCATGACATGGTGGCAATCAATTTCAAAGTACTAAACAAACAAATAGAAACCTTACTTACAATGTTTGTAGATGCACAGAAAACGATACTACTTTACTCAACAACTATTGCAGTAAATAAAAACATCCAGTTGTTGAAAATACGTTGAAGTTCAGTCAGCAGAATGAATTTACTGTCTGCTGTCAATGTTTACCTCTCTTTGCGCATGCCCCTAAGTCTAATAAGCAATATTATTAGTTGTTACTCTTTTGTAGTAAAAGGAAAAAGAAATCACAAATGCTGAGAGAGACACTCCGGGCATACACACCAGTTACAAAATTGTTTGTAGACAAAGTTTCTGTAGAATGTGTAAATCAGGTAGTCCCGATAAGACCAAATGCAATTATGGCTCAATCTTGCCTTTTTTTCTTAATTGGAATTTCCCTGAATAACTCGTAATTATAAGGAAACGAAGGAAGATCCCCATTCTCATTGGCGTTCTATAAATAGGCCTTATTCTTATATTTATATACTATACTTATTTAGTTACAGTAGTAACTAATAGGCAATTTTATGTAACTAATTAATTAATTATAGTTGGTAACCATATGCGGTTAGTTACCCGGGCAAATAATAAATAAATCCAATCCTATTTGCTGAACTTATTATTTGAACTAAGCTATCACTAATAGCATAGGCCTACTCATATATCATTAAAAAAATTAAACCATTGAGTTGACCCCCCCCCCCCAAACCCCCCTAAAAATTCTTTTGGAAACTCCAATTTCATTTTCTTTTAAAAGGGTGGTAACGTAACATTGTATTGAATTTATACAGGGGGGGGGGGGCAGCCATCATTGACGCCAAGCTATATTGGCACCCTCAAAAAAAAACAACAAAAAATTAAATAAAAAATTGTCACAAACTACATGTTTTTGACCATGACGTGACGTCGTTTATGATGACCCCGACCCCGAGGTTACTTGCAGAGTTGTTTCCACCACTTACGACCTTAAACTTTCATAAAGTAGCCTATAAAACAAATATTTTGTATTAAAATACATAATATTCAAATATATTTATGAACTTGTTATTTGGATCGCCAAATTCCTTGATTGGAAATTAGTATTATCCAGAGAAGTCCACGTACAATATTACGACGGCAGAAAACGTTGCAACGTGGCCGTAAAATGTATAGCTGGTAGTGACATTTTTAAGTCAGCTTTACAACACCAACCACGATCTGACCTTACATGCCGCATTCGTTATGAAGCTCAGACTCAGAGTCGTAAAAACCAAGATTCAGCGTTTGAATTTAACTTTTTGCTATAACGCTAGAAATGCTCACTCATTATATACTACTAAACACATGGGTTTTTTCTTGGTTCCATTAAAAATGAAAATCACACTATTTGATTAGTGGCCGCGCAAATATATAACACAAAAATGTGACACTTTTACCCACCCCAGCCCTTATTACGCTATATAATATATAACATTTCCATTGACCATCCCTTAATATTATATACAATTTCTAGCAACACCTCCCCCCTTTTTCAGCCAAATTTAAAAAAAAATACCACAAAAAGTTTAATATTTATGAAACAAATGTTTTACTGTTAATCAAAAGTTTGCTTGACAAAAAGCCCGGAAAAGTCCAGAAACAACATCTCTACCCGCAATCGGTCCCATTATAGGCCTAGGTCAGTGGTCGACAAACTCACTAGTCAAAAAAGCCAAAAAGCAGCAGCAGGACGATTAAACAAATTTTGAGAGCCAAATCTTTTCAAGAACTTTTCAAGAACCATGTTTTTTGGAGTCAAAACCGATTTGTGGCTGACTGGCCGAGCCGCACTCAGGTCGCTAAAGAGCCGCATGCGGCTTGCGAGCCGCGGTTTGCCAACCGCTGGCCTAGGTCACGTAATAAACCATTATAAAAGTGTCTGAATTCCGATTAAATGTTTTCCAGAACGTTTTTTTTTTATTTGTTGGAGTTATTTTATTGTTGTTAATGTTGTTTACATTTGTCTTTAATATCTTCGTTTCAAGAATTACCCTACGCTACGACGAACAATTTCTCATCTACATCATTTTAAGTTAAAATGTAGGCTATTATACTATAGCATAGCCTATAATCCTAAATTCCCATGCCATGGGCCATGCCTATATTAATGTACACAATCATAATATTTTGGCAGACTTTGTATTCCTGTCCGTTATCCTTTATTTAATTTTTTTTCAAGCAATTAAAAATACTTTTCAGTCTGTACTTGTATCATATTGACTTAAATGCTAACAATGGCGAATATTTTGTTAGATTTTCATATATGAAATAAATGCATGTCGTGATTTGGTTTCAAAAGAAGGTACTTTTGCGAAGCTTAGACGGACCTACTTTACACCCTTTTCCGGTTGAGATCAGGTGGACCCTTATATCGTACGATCTGTTTGATTGGACAGTAATTGTAAATGACATATATCACGACCAATACAAACTCATATTTGTTATAGGCTTGTTACTAACAATGAAGTATGGCCGCATTTGTGTATCTTTCCAAAGAAGTGTTATCAGGGTTTGATAATTACAAAGTATGTAGTTCTTTCTTCAGAAATTCATCAAGCCAATATTATTTTAAAAAGGGGAAGATATTTTATTCCATCATTTTATTATATAGAAATCTGTAATATTAAAAATATTAGACATAACTATTCCCTCTGCTTACTTGCTGCATGGTCATGCTTCATTTCAGTTCACAGTCGAGTTAACAAATCTCAGATCTATTGATTTGTTTAACTTAGTTGCTAGCCAGACCTGGTGATGAAATAATAAATGTATATATATATTATAGAAGGCATATATTGCTTTATTATTTACTATTAATTAGCATATGAAAACTATAATAAATGTTCATCTGAATTGTGTAAAGAAAGTTTTAATATTTATTGTACTTGTACAACTTAGAACTATTAATAAATATTTTTATAATTTATATTTAGCTTTAACTTATTAAGCATTTAAATTTAACTTAGTAGTAGTTCACTTAGGACTTAGAAACTTAGAAGCTAAGAAGGCCTACTACTAGCCAGTGCTAGTAATTGCCTTTAGCCTTTAGGTCTGCACTAAAAAAAATTATAACTTTTGAGCCACTGGAGTTGGAGCTAGAAAGTTGATCTTTGATTGATTGATTGGATATTTATATAGCGTGGTATCCATGCTACTTTAGCATGCTTACTGCGCTATGGTGTTCTTAAATCTATTTAATTTAAAGAAAAAAGTCTTTAAATGTTTCATAAATGATTTTTTATCATTTTATAATCGCCTTAAAGACATTAAAGATTGAGGCAAATTGTTCCAGAATTTAGGCACTATTGCTTCAAAAGAGCGACACCGTAAGACTTTTTTTTCTGTGTTCATCCACACTAGGAATTTTCAGTGCAGACTGTTGACGTTGAAAATCGCATGTTTATAAATCAGTTCTTTAAGATATTCCTGTGCAGAGCCTTCTATGCAGCTGATGGAGATCTTGTAAACCATTCAATTGTATACATCTGTATTGCACCTACATTTTTAAAAATGTTTAGAAAATATACACCGAAATAATTTAATTATGTGCATTAAGATTAGGTAAACATTTCTATACAGTATATAGCATTTTGTTGTTGTTTATTTAATGTAGGTGTTATGACATGCACGCTGACAGTTTACTCCCTATTAAAATAATAAAAATGTAAAATATATTTAAAAGCAATTTTTCATTTTTTGTTATAAAAGTCAATTTACAAGGTTCAAAGGAATTTTTATAAGAAATGCATCCTTGTTGATAAGCCAAAACGATGCCCGGTAAAAAAAACCAAACTGGTATGCATTGCCAGAAATGTTGTCTTTTCATTGGTTAAGATTAGTAATAATACATTCATGGCTTTATACAGTTAATGCGCTATGTAACCAATTTTATTACCTTATTGAAGTACCAGTATGTCATTTACTTCAATCATGTCACCATTTCCCGGTTTATTTCAACATAAATTTCTATGGAGGGGATTCCTCTCCCCAATTTTTAAGACAGAAATAATTAATTTTTTTTTAAAAATTGTTGGGCTACATATCAAATATTTATAGAGCTCAAAATTCTTATCTTTGAAATAAGGATCATGTAAACATATACATTGTATATTTCAATTTTATTTAACAATTTCATTTTTTAATATAGCCAATCATGGCAGTTGCAAAACGAAGGCAAAACTTGTCACCCAGCCTTGCACACAGCTTTACAGTGAATTCTGCTTATTACTTTTTTCTTCATGTTTTCTGTGATATAATTAATGTAACTGTAGAAAATTATAAAAATCTCCTTTCAACCACTCTAAAACTGATCACTCGGCTAAATCCCCTGAAATATTTCCCCCAAAAAATTTCAGATGAACAAGTATATATGCTACTTATCTAACTATATGTGAAGGATAGTTGGGAAGGAAATATAACAACTTTTAAAAATATAATTTAATTGAAATACTAAATTTTAAATTCCCATTTTCTTTGAAGTTATTTTTTTGAACTTGATAAGGTTAACATTTTTTTTTTTAAGCACACATTAAACATGGCTATTGTTCTATAAATAGAAAAATCTAAGCTTTCCCAACAAAAAAATTAAAAACATTTTTCTTAGTATGCTTATTGTTAATAATGTGAATGAAATTGAATTATTTTCAAATGTTTTTTTTAGTACAGTGCCATTGACACTAGTCCCGTCAGCAATTATATTTGTCACCCCTTCTGGAACTCATGTGTGAAGGTACTAGTTTTTATGTAAAAATATTTATGCTATCTCAGTTAGCTTAGAAATCTTGTAATTACATTGAATAAATGCATTAACATAAAAGAGATAAAGTTGGATTTTCACTATTTACTGCCCAAATATAAAATTTTAAAGCTCCTAGTAGCACAGAGAAATAAAATGGTAAAAGTTTCATAGTTACTTTTACCAAATTCATGATACCAGGTCTTGTATATTTTAACCCTCTTTTATCTACAGATTGTGCCATTATGGATTGCTCCAAATGTCCTTACACTGACAGGATTCCTCTTGTTGTTACTGAATTTTGTTGTTATGACTTATTATGACCCTCACTTCTATGCAGCATGCAGGGACCATCCAGATCACCCTCCTATTCCCAATTGGGTCTGGCTTATGGGTGCAATCAACACATTTTTGGCACACACCCTCGGTAAGTTTTTTTTAAAAAAATCTCTTTTTCTATTAAATTTTTTTTAAAATTGATCCAAAAGCAAGTGTAACTCTGTAAAGTAAATTTTAAAAACCTGTTTCTCAGTTGGTTAAATAAAATGTGTCATTATGAACATGTCTATGTGATAAGATATTTGTACACACATATTTCAGTGTATTTGGATCTGTACATAATTCAGTAATCTTGGATTCCAGTGTCTAAGAAACCAGGCCTCTTTTTTTTTCTTTGACTGTGCTAATTAATTAAATTATTGCTTAATTTTTTTCAGATGGAATAGATGGAAAGCAAGCAAGGCGAACCAAGTCATCATCACCTTTAGGTGAATTATTTGATCATGGGTTGGACAGCTGGGCCACACTTTTCTTGCCAGTGGCTGTCTTCTGTATATTTGGAAGAGGAGAGCATGGGGTCTCTGTATTTCGTGTCTTCTTGTGTGTTGTTGGCATCATGATGTGTTTTGTCATCAGCCACTGGGAAAAGTACAATACAGGTGTTTTGTTTCTACCATGGGGATATGATATAGGGCAAATAGTAAGTACAAGTTATAATCTGTTTTGTTTCTAAACATCAAATATGTCACATCATATATAGGATTTCAAAAATATATTTTTTACAAAAGATTCATTATAATATCTAGTTGTTCAAAAGCCTAATCCTGAGGCTCAATTCATAATTTAAGTTTACATTATTTCCTGACTTGAAAATGAGATGGTATCATTCCATGCTCTAATACTTAGGATCATATTTAATTTAGTATCACTCAGGTTTTAGTTTTACTAAGTAAGATAAGTGACTTTAATTTGAATCAACTACCTTTTTGCTTAATCTGGACCAGTGCTTCCTAACCTGTAGTTTGCAAAAATTATGTTGATAGTGCCAGAAAACAGCAAAAATAGTTGTGTTTTTTTACACCTGTTGATTTACAATAAGCTATATTTCAATGTAGGGAGAGGGTACTCATAAATAAAAAATCTAATCAAGGGGTATTGGAGAAAAAAAAGGTTGGGAGCCACTGCTCTAGATGTTGGCATAAATCTGCTTATGTTGAATGCTTATTGCTTTTAGTTTCTACATAATTCTGCTCCTATTTTGGCAGGCCATGACTGCAGTCTATTTAATAACATTCATAGGAGGCCATGACTTCTGGAAGTTTCGGTTACCTCTTGTCAACTGGTCTCCAGCAGAAGCTTTTGAGATTTCTTTATACTGTAAGTTTAATCGCAACTAAAATTTTAGTTTGTTAATTTATTTATTTTTGTGGCGTTAAAATATTATTTCCAGTATTAAACACCTCTCAAAATTGCCCTGAAATTTCACTGTTTTATTTTATTTTTCAGTGGGATTCATTATTTTAACATATCCTTTCACCTTTTATAACATCTATAGGTAAGTAAATGTCTTGTTCAGCTACCCATGTTAAATATTTTCCTATCAAGTCCTCTAGATAAATAGTTTTTAACACTGTAGTCTTCCTTATTATTAATAACCCTCTAGAACTTATATAACATATTATATTGTTTTATTATCTTAACTTAATTGACAGAGCTTACAAAGACAAATCAGGGAAGATGTTATCTTTTTCTGAAGGAATGCGTCCTCTTGTATCAACATTAATTTTGTTCTGCCTAATGATCTACTGGGCGTACGCATCTTCGTGTGACATCCTTGAACTACAACCTAGGCTTTTTTACTGGACAACAGGAACAGCTTTTTCACATATAGCCGTGAGCTTCTTTTGAATGTTTTTTTTTTTTAGTTTTTCTGAGTACTGTAATTTTTCTGCGCATTTGTGAATCAGTTTCTTCCATGACTTTTTTGTGAACATCTTTTAAAAAATTTGCTGTAACAGAAATATTTTTTTTTAAAAATATAGATTTTAACCTCTTAAAATGTTTTTTCTTTATTAAAGTAAAAAAGATATTTTTATTCAGCTTCTAAAATAAACAAACCAGTAAGCAGCAAGGGTATAAGCACTTAAGATACTGAAGTAGTTCAGATAGGAAATAGATCAGGGCTGTTTGAGCTGCCAAACACAGCATAAGCACATTCTCTAACAAAGTCTCATAGTCCTCATCATGTTGTGAGGTAAATTGTTGCGTATTATCTATTGTTTGTAGATTCTCACTGATATTTACCTAAGAACTATTACCCTGTAAATTTACAATAATAAGGACACCCGTTTGGTTTTGTTTCATTATGTAATAATTTCTTTGGCAGACGAGCACCACTTAGTTTTCTTTTAATTTTGGTAATCATATTTTTATCTGTTTTAAATGTTCAAATAAGTTTAAAATGAGAAAAACTTTGGTATAGGGCTATCCATAATTATGTACACACTTAGGGGGAGGGGGAGTGTTAGTTGATTTTGTAGATTTTTGTGGCGGGTTGTATGTGACCGGGGGGGGGGGGGGGGTGAAGGAGTTGTTTTTTTTTTTTTTTAATAAATCATCCATCAAATAAACGACATCAATAAATCATCCATCAAATAAACGACATCAATAAATCATCCATCAAATAAACAACATCAATAAATCATCCATCAAATAAACGAAATTGAAATTTTTTGCATACTGTACATAATATAGTGATGGTTCCTATTTAAATAACTCACATTTAAACTATAAGTACATCATACAACAAAATAAATATCTGATTATCAGTTTTGATTTGATCAAAAATAGATTTTTGTGCAAAATAGTTTGCAATCAATTTTGTTTTTAAAATATATTTTTAAAAATTTGATGGGACTTACCTTTTACACCTGAGGTATTTTAGAACAAAAATGCATACATAAAAATATGAATGATTTTTATATATATATGGATAAACAAATAATCCCAGGAAATCTTTTCTTTGTTTCCAGTGCTATTTAATTATAGCTCAGATGAGCAATACACGTTGTGAGCTGATCAACACATCACTGTTACCTCTCATCACTATAGTGTGTTTGGTAGGTGTCCTGCATTTAGGCATCACTGAGGTCTATTTGCTCTGGGCATATTGTATCTATATTTCAGTCAAGCATGTCATGTTTGGGGTATATGTGGTGAGTAGAAAACATTTAAGAAATATTGATGTTAATATGACTTTGTCACTTTACTTGTAATCTTAACTTAGATATAAGAAGCAAATTTTTACTCCCAAAAATATTTCCAGATTGTCATATAAAATTATTTTATAAAAGGGATTACTTCCATCAAAGAGATGTTAATTTTGTCTTTTATCGAGATCGTAATTTTTAAAATTGTTAAAGATTATACTAAGATATTTAAAAAAAAATTTTTTTAAAATATGTATTCTTATAAAAATAATAAAATATACATTTGTGGTTCTAAAAGTATCAATTTTATTAAATTCTTCATTGATTCATTAGGTTTCTTTTATAATATATTTGCGCTTGTACTATAATATAATTTTTGGTTTATTTTCCTATCAGGTGAGAGAAATGTGTCAACATTTTCAAATTCAAGCATTTTCTCTATCAAAAATTAACGCCAAAGTTAACAGTAACAGCCATAAAGATAAATAAATCTTTAAAATGCATGTCAGGGGACAACTACAGTGCAAGCATGTGAACCAATTGCTGATGTGTAACTGGAATCTTTTGCACACAACCAATATAAGTTTGAAAAACCACATTTGATCCATTAGGTTGTCTCCATGAAAACATTACATCAGTTTGTTTAACATAAACTAAAGAGTTTCCATCTGTTGCATTCTAGCAGTTTATCAAAAATGAGGCAACTTCTGAAAATATTTCTTGTATTGCTATTTTAAAACTTGTTAAAAGCAAAATTTCCAGACATTTTTGGGGGGGTTATCTGTACCTGTCATATAATAATCAGTGTGTTTAGATATATTTGCAAAGCTGTGGGATGAGCTTTGTTATATAATTCTTAAAGCTATATATATATATCTGTCTTTTGAAAGAATAAAACCCTTTTTTTACAAGCCTTGTTGAATTTATTTAAACATTTCTTTTTTGATTGATTTATTTATTGTTTTTTTGTTGTTGTTTTTTTCTTTTCTTTTTTAGCCTAGCCCCACCCAATGAAATTATCTCCCTTGTGTTGTAATGACTGTTTTGTTAAAGTACAATTTATCATCTAAATTTTAAACTGCCCAAGGAAGTTAGTTTTTTTTATATAGATTCTCACCCACTCCTCATATCAGTCTTATTCACATTAGCATAAACCAAACGTATGTACCTCCGGATAGTCAAGTAATATCATGGTTATTCATTCATAAGGCGAAGTGCCTAAACAAAATCAACACCTTGGAATAGTCCTCTCAACACATCAAAAAAAAAAAAAACAGGTGTTGGAATGATTAATTAAAGTTAAGAAATTTAATACTGCTACTTACTACTTGTTCAGTAAAGTACTTTCCGATCTTCATGCCAATGTTAATTAATATTTTGTCTGATGAATATGGTTAATTATTTTTTCTCAGCATAATTTATGACCATCAAAATGAAAAACAATTTACCTTTTAATGGGCCATATTTTAAATTTAACTTATCTCTTGTAGTATGGTAGTTACAAAAATTATGTGGCAGTTTTGACCTACTTTTTGTAAACCTCTCAAAAAACATTTTTAATAGATGTTTCTGAAACACTTGCCATTAGATCGTTTTATCTCAGATTTTCAACAATCCCATATTGCAAAAATAGAGTAGTCTTATCACACGTCTGTTAACTAATAAATTTTCAATCTGCACATTTTTTTAAACCTTCATTTTTAAAAAAAGATATATCTACCATTTTTATATCACTTGAGCATTTCAATGAACTGTGTTCATATCTAGGTATTGGTATTTTGCATCCTTTTTTAATATATATTTTTTCTCTTGATGATATCACTACTTCACTTGAAAGAAAATGTGCTTGCTTATTATGCTATGCTGTTGTCAGTATTTAATCAAAACATCATACTTCAGCTAGCAGTAAATATTTGACACCATCCTACTTATTGACTATTGTGTAAATATACTTCACACAGCACCATGTATACTGCTTTTTTGTGGGTGAATGAAAACCTTGAAGCTGTTATCAACAACATTTATAATGTGCAGGATTTTTATCTGATCTGCCAAGAAATCTAAGATTTTTGGATAAAGAACACCATCTTCTATAGGCTTGTGAGTTACCATTTTAAACTTAACAAAAGTAAACATTCTTTTACTTTTGCAAATACGGGGTATCAGATTCTGTTAGCAGAGGGGATAGTACTTATTTAGCAAGCTGCCATCCAAATGGGTAATTTATTGGTGCACCTATCTGAAATCCTTTCATTTTTCAAACCAGATTTTATTTATTAACCTTTTCATTTTTTTTAAAAAGAATATAATTATACTTTCTGTTCAATTGGTGCTATATAAAAATAGATTATAAAAAATAAAAGGTGTTATTTTTGAGATCGGGAGTTGGATTGTTATGCTGTTGAACATGAAATTTAAAAAAGTAATGAGTGGACTTGAAATCATCAATATAATGAAAGATATGATTTTTAAATCCAGTGGTACAAACAGTATATCTGTGAGTACTGGTCTATAGACATTTGTCTCTTATATATCATACTGAGCACATTCATTTTGTAAATTATGAAGAACAAGCCAAGGAATGCTATTAATGTTGGCCAATTGTCAAACGTGGCTCTTTCCTGCTCTCAGTGGACAAAATGTATTTTGAGTTTGAGTGCCTATTGAAGAAAGTAACTGTCAGGCACGCAAACCTTTTAGCTTTCCCAGTTGGTGAATTTGTTTTCTAATGTATGTATTCATTCTGAGATCCATGTATTGTATCTCAAGCTACACCCATACTATTTAAAAAATTCAAACTCCTTTTTTTTTCTCCCATTGTATGCTGAACTGTATCTTTGTTATTTTATTTTTTTCTACTCACAAAAGTACTTGTAAGAACTGATATGAAAACCAGTATTTGCATGTCAAAACCATCTGGATCTCAGTCTTAGAATGACTTCCAATTTGTGAACTGAATAAAAAGGAAATACGAATTATAATATATTTTTTGTTCTTTGTCCTTAGTTCATTTGAAATGAAAACCAAATGTTGGCGTTAAAAAAGTTTTTTTTAGAATTATATGATTGTATTGTAAAATTAGACCCTATGATTACTATGAAGGATTCTATTACTTAAAAAAAAAAAAGTAACTTTAAAAATTATGCCTTTTCAGTTTGGGAAAGCAGATTTTATGGTAGCAACTAAAATTGTGTTCTTTAACAATAATTGTGATGAAATATGGTTTATATCTTTCATTTGATGTTATTACTTTTAGTTAGAAAAGGTAAGGATGAAAACAAAAAGGAGTTGGGGGTCCAATATCTTGGTTTAAATATATTCAACTAATCTCAGAGGTCAGTTTTACCCACTCGCCTCCTTTTTCCGCAAGATTATGAAAAGAAATATGCTGGCCATTTTTGGGATCATTTAAAAAAAAAAAAAAAAAAAAAAACTTTTCCAGGACCCTATGCTATTAACTGTTAATATGACAATGTTACTGGCATACCATCTCTTTTTCCGCAAAATTATGAAGAGAAATAAGCTGGCCATTTTTGGTAGCATTTAAAAAAAAAAAAAAAAAAAAAAAAAACTTTTCCAGGACCCTATGCTATTAACTGTTAATATGACAATGTTACTGGCATACCATCCCCACTCATCTCAAATGATTTGAATTGTCTTTTGAAAATTGAAGTTTTAATACACGCAAAGAAGATTATTGTATTTAAATTCAGGTGTGCATTTTAATCGATTTGTTACGGACCTGATAATTTCTTAATCGCTGTTAGAGCGGCTTCCATATTTTCATTAATCCATCAGTCCTTGTCTTAACAAGGTATAAAAATGAGTCTTCTGCCACCATTCCCCACCCAAGCAAAAAATATACCTTTTGACAATTGTGACTTAGTTCTCGTAGGCTGCGCACCTACCCAGCTTTCTGTGATATGGTAGTTGTGAAAAGCAAGAATTAACAGTTAGTAGTCTTCAGTTCTTGACTAATGAATTCTCCATTACTAAAATGTTAATAACTTTAGGACACAATGAATAAAAAAAGTTTTTAGAAAGTATATTCTGTCCAGAAATATGAAAGAAGCCTATGAATAGTCCCTAACCAACCAATAGCCTTCTAAAGAAACACAATGTTGCGTGATACCCAGTGGCGCCTTTGACTAATATCGCTACCCAGGGCGAAATGTCCGAAAATGCAATCCCCTCGCCCCACACACACTTCTCTTTTTTTTTTTCTTTTTTTTTTTTCGGGGGGGGGGGGATGGTGGTGGGAGGGTTAAAAATGTTGGTTATACACGAAAATAAGTTCGCACGCAACGGGCGTTGCTGTTACCTACTACTACTATTACTATAGACCAGGCCTGCATAATTCAAAATGTAAGGTGGGCCGTAATACTTTCTGAAAAACTTGTGCGGGTCAAGGGAAAATAGGACAGGACTTGTGCGGGACAAAGAAAATAGGACAGGGGCCCGGGGGGGGGGGAAGCTATTTATTAAGAAAATAAGAATATTTCGTTACTTCGCGGGCCGCTAAATGGTTTCTGGTGGCCGCGTGTATGGGGAAAGGAGGGTGGGGTTGCTTATCATTCCGAATACGTGATATCTAATTTTAGAGATGTTACATATTTTTTTCCCCTTTTTTATTTTAAATTTCTGGGGGGGGGGGAAGATATTTATTAAGAAAATAAGAATATTTCGTTACTTCGCGGGCCGCTAAATGGTTTCTGGTGGCCGCGTGTATGGGGAAAGGAGTGTGGGGTTGCTTATCATTCCGAATACGTGATATCTAATTTTAGAGATGATACATATTTTTTTCCCCTTTTTTATTTTAAATTTCATATACGTACACAAAGGGAGACCACTACGAACAATATTTATTACTTCCGATTCTAGGAAAAGCTGGAGTTGCTTTTGTTTAACAAAACAGTCAGTCCACTCTTAATTTATAGATTAGTCTACACTTGGAATGTTTAGCTTTAAGATATTTTGTTTTAGAAATTAAATCAATAAATATTTTGGAAATGTAGCATGAACTAATTGTTAAAGCTTGAATACTGTGTTTTTATCCTAGTAAGAGAGCGAAAGAAGTCAAAAGGGGAATTTTCAGTCCCTTCGAAAGTTCGACTTCCATGACGCGTTTCACAGTCCACAGTTTCAAATACCAGAAAAGACAGATCAGCAATCCATGATTTGTGAATTTCTGTATCTAACCCAAATTCGGTGTCTAACCAGTCTCGGTTTTAAGTACATTGTTTTATTTGACCCTGAAAGATACCACCACATTGCACATTAAAACATGACTACTATTTATTATAGAATAGATGATAAAAATGAAACCAGTACTTAATTATTTATTTTATATTATACACTTAGTAAAATAAGTTGAAGTAACTTTTATAATTCCTTGTAGTAGTTAGTAGAGTAGTTATAAAAATACTAAAACATAGCTATTACTACTAGTAAGTTTAGTAAGAGTAGAGATAGATAGGGACCTTTGACATTGGCAACTGTTAAAGTTTACTAAACTAGGTTAAAGCTAAGGCCAAGGCCTACTGATTTTTATTGGGTGCCTTTTAAGATTTACCGTCTGCAGTCTACCCAACTGGATTAACTGCATAACATTGATAACATTAATCAGAGTTAGACAAAACATCTCTTACCCAAACTAACAATCAAAGTTTTAATCATGAGCTACATTACATTTTTTTTTAAAAAGTCAAATAATGATTACCATGGGATGTTGATGATTCATCAGCTGATCATGTAATCAGAAACAGTCAAATTTTATAAGTTCCATCTTTTGTAAAAGCTACATAAATTAACGAACCACACTGAATGATAAAGTTTATTCTCTCAGTCAATAAATTTTTTTTATATATATTGTACTGGGCAATTTTGAAAATTCATATTGCGCTTGTGTTTTTTTAACATAGTCTTTGCATTATTTTAATAGTGTAAGCAGGATAAAGACATAGAAAATGGCCCAAGGCTTTAATAAGCAACAAGCAGCTCAAGATCTTAAGCAAATATTGAAAGTTGATGACAGGGAAAGCAGAGAGGAAACAGCAGCTACAGAGAAAAGGAAATCTAAAAAGATTGCAGAAGAAAATACCATGGAGAAAGAGCTAAACCAGAATCAAGGCACACACTCAAACAGTAATGGCAATGCGCTACTCTCCACAAACATAATCCAACCCATTCTAGATTCAGATCATGTGAAGACTCCCCATAGGACTGTTGTAAAGGAAGTACAATTACCTAAAAAAAAGAAAAAAGGCAGAAATGCAAATCTAGAAAAGTTCTCAGAAACCGATTCACCAGCTGCAAATAAAAATCAGAATGTAGATCCGATCAACAAAAGTACTGATGGCTTATCTAGTCAAAAGCTCTCATCTAGCTATATAGAAGTAGAAGACAAGAACATTTCGGAAAACTTCTCTGACCCTAAACCAGTTTTAGCTATTTTAAAAAAACCATTGGAAACATTGAACCAAAAGAAAGGAAATGAGGGAGCTTCGAAAAACAGGTCAGAAACAAGTGCTGGTAGACAAAGAGATTGGAGAAATGAGGATAGGGGTGGCCCCTCACGGAAAGGTTATAATGGTGACAAACGTCCAAATCAGTCAGATGAGAAGGGTGGGGGTTTTAGACGAGCAGATAGCCTTGTGAATCAAGCCAGTCAGCCAGATCGTAATAATACCAATAATAATAAGCCAAGACCAGCAAAGTTGGGCGGTAAGTTGTGTCAATGCTTTAATGAGTGTCATAGTCATTTGGTTTGTCAAATTAAATATATAAATTGAATTAATATTTTTCAAAACAACTTTATAGATTAAGCCATTATTAGAAATGCTAACAAGATTTTAAAAGAATTGTTATTTATAACCTATCAGTTGTTGTATGTATTAGTTGCTTTTAGTTTTAGGAAACGCATAGTTAGATATATTTTTATTAACTTTAAAAATGTATATAAAAAAAAATAAAACTGTCATCTCACAAACTGACTGCTTTTAACTGTTTCAAATATAATTTTCAGAAGAAGATCTGAGTCCTCAGTTTTTGCAAAGTCTTGAAGACAACAAGATGCATGTTTTGAAGAAGGTACGATATATTTTATTTGTCCTTTTAACATGCCATTATATAGTTTTAACAAATTTAATCTGTTTTAAGATTTGGTTCATTAGATGAACAATACAAAACAAAGGACTGAAAACCAGTATGCAAATAGAAATGATACCAAATATAGTGATACCTATTAACAATAATCAGTTTAATTATACCATTAAGTTGATATTAAGATACAGAATAAAATATACAGAAATAAAAATGAAATGTATGAAACTAGAAAGGTGCAAATATCAATCCATACACACAGTGAAAAATCTAGTAAGTCTTGTTTGGCTCCTAAAAGTCTAGTACATGTCTGCCGGTCACAGTTGACTGTCATATTTATAATTAGGAAGTCAGAACCCTCAGGAACATAAAGTCTAGAAAATAGGGTAGTGGTAGAAAGGAGTGGCAGTGTTAATTGGTGATGGCAAAAGGGGGGGGGGGGGGGGGGTTGTTTAAGATTGCAGGCCATGGCTTAAGTTGGAAAAAAAAAACTAGATCCACACACAGGCTATAACGGTCATCATTTATGCCTTGAGGTATGAGTTGGTGAGGTGTTTATTTTATCTCTACCAATATAGGGAAAAAATAAAAGATTCACTTTCATCATTTGTTTCTTTTCCATTACTGCCGATAGAGTCTGGTAAAATGGCTTTGGATTACTCTCAGGATGCATTTATTTTTCTAAAACTCTATAAGTTTCTTTGTGTTGTATGTAATACCACTGACTAATGATTTGCCCATTTTATAAATCTCCTGTTTCATCATAGAAAAATCAGCGCTTTCCAAAAGCTAAGTTTTTCTGCCGTTTGTGCGACTATCACCTGGATCAAGCTGAAGATTGTGAGAAACATATTAAAGACAATAGACATTGCAGACGTAGAGAGGTACTATCTCTTTCCGTAAATTTTTCTTTTCGCAGAAGTAATTTTGTATTTGTGCAATAAATATATGCTCAGATTTTTATCATATTTAAACCAAATTCCTTGTTGGGATGTGATTGTTTGTACATTTATTTTTCAAAACTCATGCTGTGTGACAGGAACTTTTCTTTGATTAATTTTTTTTTTTAAATAGATAAACGCCATGGACTCCATTCTTAAGTCCATACCACCCCCAAGTATATCTCAGCTGGATGCCCTTTCAGCATCTTTAGATCAGGTCTATGAACAACAAGGCATTGATGAGTGGGAACAAAAGTCAAGACAAGAGATTGTCAATAGGTTGGAAAGCAGCATACAAGAACGTATCCCAGGTCTGGTATACCAAATGTGACCATACAAAATGTACATATCATAAATAATATTAGTTTTAACAAGTAAATAATTTAAAATGATTCCTTTGATTTATTTATAGATATGAGGAAAAAAAGTAGGCTTGTAACAGAAAAGTGGGGACTTGCATATGAGTGAAAAAATATTTATACACTTACATTTTATAGAGATGTAGCCAAGCTAACCTATTTCTGTTCATCTTAAAATAATGAAATGGTGTCAAGTGGTAATTTGGAATGTAAAAAAAAAATTGTTTAATTAAGATTTGATTTAAAATTCACAAATAAAGTGACGTCACCATAGTTTTTGAAAGGTTTTAAATTGTGGAAAACACACTTAGCCATTTGTCAATTGGAAAATATTTGTTTTTTTTTAAATTTTATTCTGATGCTAAAAATATCTTTATTCAAATATGCTAATGTTACAGACAAAACAATAACACTATTAAAAAAAGTGTACACAACATAAATTTTGCTCTACCTTCCAGAGGTCCTAATGTTTATGTATGGTTCATCACTCACCGGCTTTGGTTTGAAGTCAGCTGACATAAATGTGGACTTGAACTCATCAGACAAAAAAATGAAAATGACTTACTTGCTCAAAGAAATTTATCTCATCCTCAAGGACAGAACAGGTAGAGGGACATTTTTAACAGATCTATACGCCAATGTCAATCTAACAATTATTAAACTTAACTTTTATGAAAGAAAACATTATGTAAAAAAAAGTATTTTCATAGAAGACTAAATTAAGACTCTTAAAGTCAATGATTTCAATACCAATAAACTTGTTGCACTTAATTTATGAAACGCTTTTCTTTCATTAAACTAAAAGCTTCATATACTTGTATAAGATAGTTTCACATTGAAGTTAAAAGCATAAACTCCTTGCTGATTGTGCTATCCAAACAAAAAAATGATACTGACTTCTCAATCAAAGTGTGGCCTAGAACAGCGGTTCTCAACCTGTGGGTCGCGACCCCTTTGGGGGTCGTGCAACCCTTTCCCAGGGGTCGCCTAAGACCATCTGAAAACACATATCCTAACAGCTATGAAGTAGCAACGAAAATAATTGTGTGGGTCGGGGTCGCCAATACACGAGAAACTGTATTAAAGGGTCGCGGCACTAGGAAGGTTGAGAACCACTGTCCTAGAAGAAGGATTCCCAATACTAGATGTGGCTTCTGAAATTGAAGAGAAACGACACCTACCCACCAACAGATAGAGAAGTCTTGTAAATCATACCTAATGACTTATCCCCAAACCAACATTGAGAAACTGCCTGCAGAAAAGTGTGAACGCGTCACATACAAGGATTGCTGCAGAAAAAAAATCATACCATCCTATCCCAAGGATATAATCTAAATATATACAGATGGGTCAGCTTTTAAAGCAGTCCTAGATGCAAGATGAGATGTACAAATATACTCAGACGAATCGTGTGATGAACTCTGCAACCCCTGTGGGGCAATCTTCTGTAATTATGAAGTTATGAAGCAAAACTGACTGCTATTGAAGGAGTGCTACACCACCTCTTTACACTCTTCATAATTTCTTCCAGTAAACAAAGAATGGTTGTTATTTCTCCGATTGCCAAGCAATTATTCAGGCAGCTGATCATCAAGACCTCGCATCTTCAGTAAAATTACTACTTTTGAAAATAAACACCTTCCTCGAAACCTATGCAGTCAAACTAATCTTACAGTTGATACCAAGACACCAGTGTACCAGGAAATGAAGAAGCAGACGCTTTTTCAAAACAGGGATCATCCAAGGAACAGCAGAACATACCTGCATCACTCAACACAACCAAACATACCTACATCACTCAACACAACCAAACATACCTACATCACTCAACACAACCAAACATACCTACATCACTCAACACAACCAAACATACCTACATCACTCAAAACAACCAAACATACCTACATCACTCAACACAACCAAACATACCTACATCACTCAACACAACCAAACATACCTACATCACTCAACACAACCAAACATACCTACATCACTCAACACAACCAAACATACCTACATCACTCAACACAACCAAACATACCTACATCACTCAACACAACCAAACATACCTACATCACTCAACACAACCAAACATACCTACATCACTCAACACAACCAAACATACCTACATCACTCAACACAACCAAACATACCTACATCACTCAACACAACCAAACATACCTACATCACTCAACACAACCAAACATACCTACATCACTCAACACAACCAAACATACCTACATCACTCAACACAACCAAACATACCTACATCACTCAACACAACCAAACATACCTACATCACTCAACACAACCAAACATACCTACATCACTCAACACAACCAAACATACCTACATCACTCAACACAACCAAACATACCTACATCACTCAACACAACCAAACATACCTACATCACTCAACACAACCAAACATACCTACATCACTCAACACAACCAAACATACCTACATCACTCAACACAACCAAACATACCTACATCACTCAACACAACCAAACATACCTACATCACTCAACACAACCAAACATACCTACATCACTCAACACAACCAAACATACCTACATCACTCAACACAACCAAACATACCTACATCACTCAACACAACCAAACATACCTACATCACTCAACACAACCAAACATACCTACATCACTCAACACAACCAAACATACCTACATCACTCAACACAACCAAACATACCTACATCACTCAACACAACCAAACATACCTACATCACTCAACACAACCAAACATATCTACATCACTCAACACAACCAAACATACCTACATCACTCAACACAACTAAACATACCTACATCACTCAACACAACCAAACATACCTACATCACTCAACACAACCAAACATACCTACATCACTCAACACAACCAAACATACCTACATCACTCAACACAACCAAACATACCTACATCACTCAACACAACCAACATACCTACATCACTAAATGCTGCAAAGCAGATTATCAGCACTAATAAAAATGAAGAGTAGCTAAATGGGGGGCTATGGGCTCAAAAGGAAGATGTTCACACACATGCCCAGCCCCCAAAGATCCAATAAAGTTCCCTTACAGATACAAACAAATCTTAATCTGCCGCCTGCACACAGGACACGTACAACTCTTAATTCCCACCTTAGCCACATAAAACCAGATGAAACACCGATGTGCCCCCTCTTCAGACATACTAGTGAGACAGTAACACATCACCTTTTCGCCAATCCTGCACTTCATTACTCCTGCCTTAGTTAATGTACCAAATAAATCAAACTACACCCACATCCTACATAGAAACAAAGAACCGCAGTGGAGAGTGTGTAAATTCAAGAGGGTCCAAGGGCACATGCCAAAATGGCTCTGGATCTGAATGACGATGAACAGCATAAACCTGGATGTTATTTATCAGTCTATGTTTTGTAAGGAAAGGAGAAAACTGAAATAAGCATAGCATTACATGGATTTAAGACAAGGCGATCTTTCTTTTTTGTTTTACAGACACAGGTTTCAGCAGTGTTAGATCCGACTTCTCTGCCAAGGTACCTGCCCTGTTGATGCTGGATGATGCCACAGGCCTGCTGGTGAACATTGCCATCCACTGCTACAGTGCTCACTGCTCGGGGGAGCTATTGTCCATCTATTCAGATTTTGATATCAGGGTCAGGAAACTGGCTGTTGCCTTCCGCTACTGGGCCCACGTAAGCGATTCAGAGTTTAACAATCTACTGACCTTGTCATTCTCAAAGGATTTCAATTATTTCAATAATTTTTTTTTTATTGTGGTGGTTTATTATTAGATTTTATATTTATTTTGAATTAAACAGTGGGTTAGGGTCAGGATTGTGTATGCACATTTAAATGTCAAATCCAGTTTCATTGTGAGCAGCAAATGCCAACATTTTGTTTTGATATGAAATATTGGCTTTCTTATTATAAACTAGATCATGGTAAGGCACACTTTAATTTTTTTTTAAAAACATAAATGATCTCATCCTGATCCAATGGCCTTTTAGACGTGAGCCTTTCCACCTGGAGCCGATGGCGCACATGTTCTTCAGCTGGTTAAAATCAGTGTGTATTTTCTATTTCCTCAGATCTGTGGCTTAGATCGTCAGAGTGACGGCTTCTTCCCACCACAAGCCCTCAACCTTATGGTCATCTACTACCTGCAGGTGGTCTCGCCGCAGCTGGTCCCCATCATTAACCCCCCTAAAGTGAGTTGGTTCTTTCAAGAGCCAGACACGGCCTCTGTTGTTACAGTTTTTTTCTTCTTTTCTTTCTGCCTCTACATTTCCACATCTACTTTTATAACACAAGGTCTTGTTGATTTTTTGGAAAATGTGACAGTGTTTCTAAATGTTTGCCCAACATTATGTCAATAATTTGTACTAGGTTAATGAAAAAATTACTGAATTCTTCTTTTTTTTTTTTTAAACCTTAGTTTAGAAATCAATATAATGCAAAAAATGAGAAAAATATTTATATTTCCCATGGTCTTTTTCACAGGTAATATTTAGTTGAAAATGTAAATGATAAATTCTTTATAAATATATATACATTAGAACATTTGTGTTAATTTCAAATTCTTGATATGCCCATATATATATATCTCTGTGTGCATCCAAATAGGTCTGTTTTTGTCAATCCCCCCATATTCTTTGTTATGCCAATGGGGTGACATTAAGGGTGTCTTTTTTTTGGTCCTCAGGTTAGCGGGGAGGACATTGGAGATTTCCGCAAAGACCGTCCTGCATTTGAAAAGATGAGAGCAAAGGTAAACAACAAAGAAGAGTAACTCCAGTGAGGTCGTGCTTTAAGATTTGAAGTGCCCCTTTTTTTTTATGATGGTGACGTAAGCGTTTGTTGTTTGTCAACAACAGTTTATCAATGAATAAACTTGTTTTCCCAGATAAAATAATAATTTTATAAATGAAGGTTAAAAACTTTTTTATGATGGCTGAATAAAGATATACTTAGGCCTTTTGGCTGGATTTGGCCAGATGATAATGTATTGTGGTATAGTTATAACTTGGCATAAATGGGGAGGTGCTATAAATATTTAGGTGGAATAGAATTTAGGAATGCTTACATAACAGGAAAACAATCTTCAGGTGATGAAATACAGTATGGAGAAGAGAAATTCAATGGGCTTAGGAGAACTCTGGTTGGGACTGCTGCGGTTTTACAGCCTGGACTTTGATGTGTCCAACACAGTCGTCTCCATTAGGACCAACGTTGACCTTAGCCGCAACACAAAACCATTCAACAGCCGGAAACTTGCAGTTGAAGGTTGGTTTTCATGGCATTGTTTATTGTAAATGCTAAAATTTTCCTAGTCTTCCATATCTTTGGGCGTTTCCTTCTCTTTGTTACATTTTATGATAAAAGCCTCAGAAAACCACAGTTGTGTCAACAAAGAAATTAATGCTATTCAAACTGATGAAATTATAGAATATTCCTTGCATGGGGTTTTATAAATCAACATTTTATTCTCAACCTTTGCTTATTTTATCAGGAAGCTGGCTTGATTTTACAAAATGTTTCTTTCAGGATTTTAATTTGAGTTCTGTTTAGATCTGAAGAGTCAAAAAGGATTTCTTGTTTTTTTAAAATCAATTTTAACATTGATTTCAATGAAAGTCCTTTTTTTGTTTTAAAGTTGAAAATACAAATGATAACCTCATTATTACTGGGCCCTAGGTGGCCAAGCACTGGGTGGCTGAGCGCTGGGGGGGACCGAGCGCTGGGGGGGGCCGAGCGCTGGGTGGCCGAGCGGTCTAAAGTGAGTCAATCCCAAGCACCAGAACCCCAGGTGGATGGGACTCGTTAACCTTAGAGGCAAACTCTAAAATCAAGGTGGTATGACATTACAACAATGAAATTTCCAACAACTCCTGCAATGTGGAATTCTTAAAGGGCATAGTGAGACACACAAAACACTGCTGGTCATCTACTGCATTCTGGTCCATTTCCAGTCATCTCAACCAAGTCTTGCCATGGATTAAAATAATTAAATAGTCCAAGACAAGAGAGTGTGTTAAACAACTCTCCTTCACTTTAACCAAAATACAGCTCTAGTCAAGGCTACTACACAAGTCGAAACCCAAGGAAGGAAGAACAATAATAATAGCTTACATTAAAACAGTTGTACTAATTTCACATGCTTGATTTGCCTCTTTTGTAATTTTATTTAAATGATCATTACACTACAAAAATTATATTGTAAACCTTCACAGATCCCTACATGCCTAAGAAGAACATCACACGAATGGTGAACAACTCGCGCATCTATGAGTACTGGCAGGACTCCATTAGGAAAGCGTTTTACTATTTTGGCTTGCCTCGCAACAGCCAGGGCCACTCTCTCATATCTGAGGAGGCCCTGAGGGAGAGGAGCTTGAAAGAGAAGTCTGAAGCTTCCACCAGTGGAGCCAAGCCGGAGCCCAAAACATCATACACCAAGGGGACAGCTCAGCAGGCCAGCAGCGGTGGCACTGAAAAGCCCAAAGCCCAGTCAGAAACGGAGGCTGTGATCAGCCTGTCCGGAAGCGACGCGCTGGCAAACTCACAGTCTGTGAAAATACCACCCAATCCGCTGATTGCCAGCAGCTCCAAAGTGCCTGAGGCTAACAAACAGCCAAGCCCCCAACAACGGACAGCTGGTGACCTGGCCGTCACCACCCTCACACCAGACAAACAAAGCTCGTCAAAGTTGAAAAACAAAGACCTTGATTTGCCTTCAGCAGACCAGCCTGATAACACTGCCGTTAAAAATAAACATGGCGACAATTCCAATGTCTTGCCAGTTAATCATCCAGTGCAAAACAACGGCAAGGAAGTCAGTCACTTTGCTCAAGGTTACGCTGTTGACATTATTGGCAAAGCCTTTGATCAGCTCACTGTGCAAACCTCGGATTCTGATAAGGATTCAAGCAAGGACTCTGCAAATGCTAGTCTAGATGAAGGAAATGCCAGCTCAGAGTCTGATGAAGTTAGTTCTCACTCAGAGGCATCTTGTGATAAATCTGAGAAATACAGTCCTTCAAGTGCAGAAGAGCAGTGCAAGTATGAGTTTTCTGAAGAAAATTTCATGACCGATGGAAAGGTGAGTTAGCTAATTTTAATTTGTGGTTGAAATCAGCTACCCCTTCTCCAATCACTATAACCACATTCCAATTCTACTCACGCGAACCACTCTCTCACCGAACATCAGCTTAAACCACTCTCCCTATATCCACCAAAACCACTTTCTCTCCCCACCATCCACCACAATCCACTTTCTCCCCAACATCCACCACAAACCACTTTCTCCCATCATCCACACAAACCACTTTCTCCTCACCATCCACTGGACTCTCCCCACCATGAAGCCAAACCACTCTCTCCACCATCCACTCAAACCACTCTCTCACTACCATCCGCTTAAACCACTCTCCCCAACATCCACCCAAACCACTGTCTCCCCAAAATCCACCCAAACCACTGTCTCCCCACCATCCACCAAAACCACTTTCTCCCCACCATCCACCCAAACCACTTTCTCTTTCCACCATCCACCCAAACCACTTTCTCCCCATCATCCACCCAAACCACTCTCTCCCCACCATCTATTCAATCCACTCTCTCCCCATCATCCACCCAAACCACTTTCTCCCAATCATCCACCCAAACCACTGTCTCACCATCATCCACCCAAACTACTTTCTCCCCACCATCCACTCAACTCTCTCCCCACCATCCACCCTAACCACTTTCTTCCACCATCCAGCCAAACCACTCTCTCCCCACCATCGACTCCAACCACTCTCTTACTACCATCCGCTTAGACCACTCTCCCTATATCCACCCAAACCACTTTCTCTTCCCACCGTCCACCACAATCCACTTTCTCCCCACATTCCACAACAAATCACTTTCTCCCCACCATTCAGTAAAACCACTTTTTCTGGTTTGGAAGGAATGCAGGGTTGATAATCCAAGTAAAATTTTCAGCAAACAAGAGGAATAAAATCAATTTTTAAATCCTTTATATTAACTTTGCTATTGTTCATGTTAGGGGCAAAATCTTCGGAAGGCTAAATGACCCGTCTATCAAGCTGAAACATGGCACATAGACTTATTGCAGATAACAACACGTTCTTTCAAACTTTCAGCTCTACCCCCAATCCCTAAAAATCAGTTTATCCTGTTTTTCAAGAGGAAGCTAACTGACCAAATTCCCATCATCCAATTGAGCTGAAATTAAGCACATATGCTCGATGCCAGTGAAAATACATTCTTACAAATTTTAAATTTTCAGCCCCATCCCCAACACTCAGTTTTTTCAGGGGAGTGGGGGGAATGTTAATTCAATGGGTGCGTATTTTGGTATGAAAATTAATTTTGTAGCTTTTGCTATGTGCTTTGTTATTTGTGATATATTTGGGTATGCAGTAAAAATAAAATGTATTTTTGAAGGGGAAAATGAAGGAAATATGAAATATGATTTCTCCAGAAGTTTACCCATTTACATAACCGCTTTTAATAAATGATAAATAACATACAATTGCACAAATGCAAAGAAAAATACATTAACAGATTTATACAAAATACTCTTTTTTTTAAAGGGTTGTTTAATTCATGTAGTATTTTAGATGGGATGAAAATGCAATTTATATTATTTCAATCAAGAGCAGCTTTATTTTTATTTTATGCAGCCTTTTTTTCTTTAAGATGCAAAAAAACCATCGGGGAAAATTCAATGAAATTTCTTAGTATTGTTAATTTTTCCATATATGATTTTTGTTAATTTGAACCATTAACACAGTGTTTGGCAACCATTTCATTCAAGTGAAATCTAAAATGCCATCTAAACAACGAAGTGATTGCATTTCAGTGCAGCATAAAGGCTGTGTAGCTAATCAATAGACCAAAGCACAAGGTTACAGCGGCTAAATTTTTTTATCTTGTTTTGAAACAGGCATCAGGTATTACAAACATATCGGTTAATTCCGGAGAATTTCAAAGGAGATTTGTGGTCAAGTGGTAGTGAATACTCTAGTCGTTCTCTTGGTTCGGCGTTGATACGTTTTATGTCATCTTCTTTTCTTTTTTCATTTGTTTTGCTCTTCAACTTAAAAAGATATTTCATAGTTTAAAAAAAAATTGTTTTATTAAATAGCCCCTGAATTAGCTTAAGACGTGAAACAGAAAAATAAAAATAATTGATTGTTGCTCAGTACATTGAACAGTAATTATATGCATGCTGAGTATAAGTGTTTTAACTTAACCGTCACTAGATGTGCTGGCGTTTAAAGAGTCCACCCTGCCTGCTGCTCCCAATTTTTTTGTTTCCATTTAGAAATAGTGTATAAAATGGCTCTTAAGTTTAAAAAAGAGTTGCCAACCCCTGTCTAAACAGAACCTCTTATCTTGACCATGAAGTTCTCTTCATGAACCTGTTTGTCTTACTGTGCTCAGGGCCCAACATTAGTGTGTACATACTGTGAGCAGGAGGGCCATCTCAAGAATGCTTGCCCAGAAGATGAACTGCCTGAAGTTCTGCCCCTACCACCATTGACTCCAATGCACATAAAGGTCTTGTCAGAAACACTCAATAAAGTTCCATGTAAGTCCACAGCAGTTATTCCTGATATCTAGGCAAATGTCCTGTTGACTAGGAAAATGCCTTATTTACTCAGCAAAAGTCCTGTTAACTAGGCTAATGGCCTGTTAACTAAACAAATATCATGTTAACTAGGAAAATGTCTTGTTAACTAGGTAAATGCCTTATTTACTATAAGGGTTAGCTCTTACATTATTTATTGGCACATTCCATATATTTAAACTAGTAATGAAACTTAAAAGACCTCAGTATTACAGATATGTATGTTTATCCAGAGCATATTATTTCATATACTGTAAATGAATTGTAAATGATTGTTATTCTTAATGCATTGATTCCCCAGTGCATAGTTACTTAATTGAAATTTTTAAAAATATTAGACCATTTCAATGTTACATTAATATATTTTATATTACCTTTGTGAATTGCAGCAGAGGTTGGCCTGAATGATGAGAGCTTTGGAGACCGTGTCATATTTCTTCAGAATTTGGAGGGATATATTCAACAAACATTTGACGGTCGGTTCTTTGACTTTCAACTATTTGACATTAATTTAATGTTATTTCCACTGACATTCATTTTGTAACTGATATATTGGGTGCTGGGCGGCGTGGAGCGGTCTAATCTGAGTCAATGCCAAGCTTGTGTACTGCAGCTCAATCACCAGCAAAAGCCTAGAAAATGCAAAAAACATCACCAGCACCCCGGTAGGATGGGACTCATTAACCTTTGATGGCAACTCATCTAAGAGAAGGAAAAACTCTGACTTCAAACCCTGACACAAGGTTCTGACAACTCTTGTGACGCTACTGTTGCCGAGCTTTATCATCCACATTTGATGTGCCTTTTGTCTATCCAGATGTCTGGAGAGGTGATTTGCTGTCTATAGAACCAACCAAAGGGGAAAAAAATCCCAGACCATGTGATTTTGTCCTGCAAAGCCTAGGCCATCATCACATTGTGATGGACGGATGCCCATAAAACTGAGAGCTGTCTTTTCATATTTAAAAAATAGCTTTTTTGTAGTAGTTATTTATTCTTGTTAATTAATTAATTACTCTGTGTTTCCTTTCTGTAGATGCTCAGCTTGCTCTATTTGGATCTTCATGCAATGGATTTGGATTTGATAAGAGCGATATGGATATTTGTATGACATTTTCCAGAAGATCTGGAGTGAGTCTGGCACTTTGTTTTCCTTTCTTTTCCTGTTAATTTTATCTTGTAAACTTTCCTTTCCATGGTGTTCAAATCACTTTGTTCCTTTTCCAGAGTGATGTTACGTTGTTTTGTTTTTATATTACTTCATTAGCCGAAGTAAATAAGTCCTTAAATTATTTCATATGTTTAAATGTCAAATGTTACATTCTCTGTCAACTAGGAAATTATTATCTATTCATTTGATATATTTAGATATATTCTATGTGGCTTTTGAGTGCATCATTCTCATATTTGAAGTTTAAATGTTTAATTTAATTAAATATTGGAACTAAAAATACCTCGACATTATTTTTTATTTAGAGTTGTGACCTGTCTTGATCCCACCAAGAAAATACCATGTTAATAAAAATTACTACTGTTTCAGAAATTTGACAAAATATTTGTGATAGAAACTTTGGCAAGGAGGTTAAAACAGAATATGGACTTAACAGCTGTGCAGGCCATCACTACAGCTAAAGTCCCCATTGTCAAATTTACTGTGAAGAAAAACAACCTGGAAGGGGACATAAGCCTCTATAACACCTTGGTTTGTTTTTGCTACATTTTGTTTGAAGGGACACACTCAATTTTATAGTGATGAATGGTTTTCTGTGTAAAAAAAAAATTATTTTAAAATTAGTAAAAGTAACACCATCTTTTATATATTTGTTTAATAAAAACCCTTAAAAAAAACATACTTTTGTGAGTAAAATCAAAATATTTACACCAGGCCCAACAAAACACAAAACTTCTGTACTGCTACAGCAAGATTGACCCAAGGGTTCGAATTTTAGGGTACTCCATCAAAACATTTGCCAAGGTAAGAAAACAGAGCTACTGCTTAAAAATTTAGTTGATGATTTCATAATGACACCAGGACACTTTTTGTTATTGTATGGATTTTCTGATACATATTGCAAACACACATAGTAGTTGGTCTAGCTTGAGCTAAATACCAAGCCGTTTAGCAATACATCTGAAGAAACCACACAAAAACAGAACATTAAAAAATATAGTATATGTTTTGCAAAATAATTGTTGGGGGTACCAGGTAAATGCATTCTCATTGCCAGGTCTGTGATATTGGAGATGCCTCCCGTGGCAGCTTGTCCTCTTATGCCTACATCTTGATGATGCTCTACTACCTGCAGCAGGTCAGGCCAGCAGTCATTCCTGTTTTACAAGAGGTAACTGCTTTTATATTCTCTGTGCAGCCAGTACTTCTCATAATGCAACAGTGCTGCCATTAACTGTCTGTTAGCTTATCGGTGGTTCCATTTACCCTCTTTTATTTTGATCATTGATACTTTTAACTATTTTAAATCTTATCAGTGCTGCCATTAACTCTATTTTATCTTATGAGAGGTTACTATTTTGTGATCTGCTTGTTGCAGTTATATGAAGGAAAAACAAGACCATCATTAGAAATAGAAGGATGTGAAGCCTGGTTCATGGATGACCTTTCTAAACTGGTGAGATGTATAGTCCAAGTGTATCAACTTATGTATTTTTATATGTCTTAACAATAGTGATGTTTTTTGTTTTTTTTGTCTTTTACATTTTTGTTTTGGGTGGTGCTACCTAAAAAGAAAATGAATTTGGAGATAAAAATTGAAAGTAACTGAAGACAATTGAGACACACAAAAAAGTTTCAATACTCTAACTTGATTTTTTTTTTCCTAATAAATATGACAGGACAAGTTTTGGCCAGAAAAGGGACAGAATAAGATGACGGTGGCAGAGCTGTGGGTAGGCTTCCTCAGATTTTATGTGGAAGAATTTAATTACAAGGAGCTGGTTGTTTGCATCAGACAGAAGGAGCCACTCACCAGATTTGAGAAGTTGTGGAATGGGACCAGCATTGCCATTGAAGGTTACTTTTTTTTTTTTTTTTTTTACAAAAAATAAATTTTACATTTACAATGAATAAATAAAATGAATAAAATAAAATCCATTTACTCACCAGATTTGAGAAGTTGTGGAATGGGACCAGCATTGCCATTGAAGGTTACTCTTTTTTTTTTTTTTTTTACAAAAAATACATTTTACAGTTACAATGAATAAATAAAATGCATAAAATAAAATCCATTTGTGGTTGAAATATTGTGATATGTAAAAAAAGTGGAAATAAATGAGGGCAGATTGCCATTATATCTGAGTTTCTTTTCAATGATGACGTTGTATTTTTTTTAAAAAATCATTTTGACTCGTTGGTAGGGAGGGAGGGGTGACCAATTCAATATCTGAAAAAGAAAAGACTTCTAACTGATCTGGACTTGGCATGGCAAACCCTTTTAGTCAGTTTTATAACACTTCACATACTCAGAATTCCTCATCACATCTGTTTATTTGAACAGCAGTAGAATGCATAAAACTTCAAGTTTGAGTCATAAAATACTATGCTGGTTTTGTTTTCGTTTTGTGAATTTAAAGGCAGACATTTTTTTTCCCCCGCCAGATCCATTTGACCTGACTCACAATTTGGGATCAGGATTGACCCGAAAGAGTAAGCATCTGTCTTTTTTATAAATTAAGTTCAATAATTTAAATCTTATATGAAAAAAAATATTCTTCTTGCATACAAAAAAAAATCATTTAAAAAAAAAAATATATAATTTCTGTTAACTTCATCTGGATGATTTTTAAATATTAATAGTTTGTTTTGGTTTTGGTATCACATTCGCACCTTGTATTTGTTTACAGTGAACAACTTCATCTTCAAGACATTCATCAATGGCAGGATGCTGTATGGCAGCCCCATAGATGATTGCATGGAGATATTTAAATCCTATCAGTGCCCATCTGTGAGTCTTGGCTTGTTGTGTCACTCACTACATCACAGGGGTGGGTTTAGTTAATACTTTGGAGAGTGTCTTAGGTGCCTCCAAAGCCTGCATCAATGAAATATATTCCAAATGAAATGTGTATTGCAAGGGGTATAACCAGTGCTAGCCAACTGATAGTTACATCCCTTCCACCTTCTATTTCCCCCTTTATTTTACTCTTCCAGATTATTAGCATTAAGCTCAGAAAATCTGGCTGTTCAAAAGAATTTGAGCTGGCTTACTTTAGCTTTGGATTATCTCCCACAATAACAATCTTAATGTTGCTTGTGTAATAACTCCGTTATATGATTTGTTTCCTTGGTGGATGTTTCGCATAAACATTTCTACTGACATTTCAGGACTACTTCTTTGACACAGATTTGCTGTCAGAGTGCCGTCCTCCAAATGTCAGAGGCTGCCGCAAGTGCGGCAAGATGGGTCACCTGATCAGGCACTGCCCAAGCAACCGCAAAGAGGATGACCAGAAGAAGCAGCAGTCTCAGGCTAATCACGGCAAGCAGCAAAACCCCAACTCTCAGTACAAGCAGACACCCCCACCCCAGAGGCAACAAAGGCAGCTAACCCCCCAGAAACAGCAAGGGCAGAGAAATCAGCCTCAACTTCAGGAGAGAGATATACGTGATAAAGAGAAGTAAGGGGGGATATGTTTGTATGCATCTCTTAATAAAGATCATCTTGCCTAGTCATTTTGACTCTCAGTATTTGCAAAATTTACATATTGAATAGAAAATAAACTGACAAAATCTGCCCATGCCATAATTCTGGATATAAAGAAAATTCTAGGATCCTTCATAGTAATGTTGTACAGGGAATGCACTCAGTCTTTCTTGTTACAGAAGAGAAAGAGAGAGAAGCCAGAGTGAGTCTGGAAATCAGGGAAATTCTTCAGCCAACATCAACAGGAACCAGCAAGCACCAAAATCCCAAGGGCCACCTTTTACAGTCAGTACAATTTCTTTTTCTGTCTTTTTTAATGCTTTTATTTCATTTATTGTTTGACTTAATTATTTTTTATGAGAACACTCAGAATTTTTATGTTTGAACTTTCAGAAAGGAGTAAAATATATATATTTAAAAAACAAAAAAACAACACTATTAGCCAAATTATGAAAACTTATCTTATAAGTAAATTTATTGAACTATTTCTAACAGTATGGCATCACATATTTCTCTTTTTCAAAAAGCACCTTAGGGCTGGGAACATTTTTTTTTAATGAGAAGCCATTTTATAAATTGTATCTACAATGTTTTCAGAGTCACAAGCAGGAGTTTATTATATACAGGGTTCCTGCAGCCCCCCTGAAATTCCAGGAGCTCCTGGAAATCTCCTGGAATTTGAAAAAAATGATAAAATTCTGGGAAAATCCTTAAATGTTAACATTGCTCCTTAAATGTACTGAAATTTTTGTTGCTGCAGAGGGCGGGGTAAAAAAAAATCTTGATCGCGATAGTTATTTTATTTATTTTTTGTCTATTGAAGTCATAGTCTATTTTTAGCCCTTCTATTATCAAAACGAATTTCCCATAATAATGAAGTGGTTTCCCATTAACTGCGCATGCGGTTTACAAGTTTCGGATATGAAATGCTTTGATAGACCAGAATTTTTTTTGTTCTATTCAGTTCGCTGAACGGATTTTTTGGGTAAGTATAGTGTAATATTACTAAAATACAGTAAATAGATATTTAAATGTAGTTTTTAAAAAAATATTCAGTAACTATTATGAATAGAAAAGTACGCGCCCGATTGTTGTATAAATTGACTAAGCTTAGCCTAAAAAAAAATTAAAGTTGATTATTTAATAGTTTTATTCTAGGTTGTCCAAGCTGGAGAAAAAAAAGCGTTTTTTTTTAAGGGTCATTTATTTGAAATTAAAGTTTTCAACAGCAAAAATAATTAATCCGCTTATAGTACCGGTAGTAGTGTTAAAGTTAAAGGAATAAAATTTATGCTCGCGGCTGTTTAAGTTATCTTAGCCATAGATCTACTCCAGCCCCATGACCAACATAACAATTCAATAACATCGACACATACAATGAATAATTCATATTTTTTTAAATAGAGTTTTAGTTCTAGAGACCTTAAACTTTATTTATTTACTTTATTTAAGTTAATTTTAATTATTAGAGAAGGCCTTCTAAATAGGCAAATATTAAATAAAAAATTATGTTATGTTATTTTTGCGTTGCATAGTTTACAATGACTTCGGAACTTCATTTAAAAATTATTAAAACTAGCTGATGCATCCATTGAGCATCTTTAGTCATTAGTTCTTATTTATACCTGTAGTTAAAAATTAATGCACCCCTGTGCTCTAGGTATATTTTGCAGTATTGATTTTAGTATTATTTGCACAGTTGTGTGGGGTTTTTGGGGGGGGGGGGGGGCTCTTTAGAGATTAAAAAAAAAGTGGTTGCTTGGTCGTGACCCATTCCCCAGTTTAAAATCCGGATTAAGTCATGACATAAGCAGATGCCTCTTAGGTTCTCTTCTGCCTCTGTATTATTAGTTAGGTAACAGTGTAATAAGGCATATCTTCTGTTAACCCTATTGTAGACCTTACATGATAATATATTAATTATGTTTTGTTTCACTATTCAGGGTCTAGGGTAAATAAAATAACAGTTCCTTTGAAGACTGATGGTTAAAATAGCAATCCTGATTGAACAAGCCATCACTACTACTCTATACAAGAAATTGACTCTAAGCTGAGTTTATCCTAAGCTAGTGGACTGGAGTTCAATCTTCAGAAAATGCCTAGACAAGCAAAAACATCACCAGCATGCCGGGTAGATGGGACTCATTAACCTTGAAGGGTAATTCATCTAAAAGAAGGCAAACTCTGAAATCAAACCCGGAGATGGAGTTCCATAGGCAATATGACATTGACACAGTGAAAATTCCGACAAACTCCTATGACGTAGAAGCATAAAGAGCATAGTGAAACACACACACTCACTGCTGGTAATCTACTGCATCCTGGTCTATATCCAGTCGTCTTGACTAATCCAGACCTGTTTACTTTTATGATTTTGGCATAAAATGTACGATTTTGAGGTGTATACCTTAAATATACTGTATGCTTTATTTTTACTACTAAGATGGTGTGTTGAACGATTTTGTAATATTGTACGATTTTAAGAGTTTGAGGGTAAACAGGTGTGCTAATCTTGCGATTGAATCAAATCGGCAAGGTCGAGAGAGGGATACTGATAAATTAAGCAACTCTCCCTAAGTTTAAACAAAATACAGCTCACATCAAGGCTACTGGTCCAGTCTTAGTGATCTTCATGTGTACAGGACGAACAACAGTACTGGAAATATTGATATCGAGTATATTTGCTGGCCATGAAACTTAAGGGAAAATGATCAATAAACATCAATCATCTGAGACTTCCTCTAGTTCAACTTCAGTTTTTTCACCTACCTCTGATGTCCACTTTTGCAACTTCTTAGTCAAGCTTCCAAGTTATGCATATTTTCGGAAATAAATATGACATACTTTGTGATTGAAATGGATTATTTTATAAGTTTATTAGTTATTTGTTGTCAAACATCAAGTACATCTTATCAGAAACAAGTTACTCAATTGTGTGTCAACTAGGAACCAGAGTACCTAACCAGTACATCCTTAAATGAAATAATTTCTTTAGCATTAGCAGTCATTAGAGTAAGAACTGTCACTATGTAAGTGCATTTATGTTCTGTCACTACAAAAAATTGTATAAATGTACAGGGTCTTTTTAAAAAATGTCCTGGAATTTTGTATTTTCTCCTGGAAAACTCCTGGAATTTTTTTAGATTTGGCGCAGAAACCCTGTATATAATTGTCATATTGGATTAAAAAAAGAGCTGGATCTATTCCTTCCTGAGCTGTGGGTTCCCAACCACTGCCGTAGCTGACCCAAATCTAGGATCTAGCCCTTAACACATAGTTCTCCACTGGTCTACTTTCCACAGCATTCTCAATATAACTTAGCCTCCAACCCAAGTTTGCAGCCTGTAACCCCAGCACAGCTGAAGAATTTCCAGCAGACTCAGATGTACCACAACAGTAACTACCAGTACAAGCAGCAATACAGTATGTCATACCAGCAGCAGCAGCCTAGGAGAAACATGGGGCCCTCTGGGCAGTCCTCTCATGGTTACAATGCACCACCACCACTCCTCTCTGGTCCTATGAGGTAAGTCCAACAGACAACCACTTCTTCTGACAGCTGCTAAATACAAAACAACACATATTTCACTTTTTTCTTTTTTTTATTATTGCAATTATATTTGTACCTTTGATGTCTGAAATATGGCAGTCAACATTCCTGTGCAATTATGTGAAGCATATTTACAGTGTAATGTATTTTTAACAACCAGAGACTGTATTGTTGAAATATTTCTTATCTCTTCTGGATTTTTTTTTTTCTTGAAAGCTTAATGTCTTTTTTTTTTTTTTTTCTTAAAAAAATAAATAATATTGTCTTCTCTGTCATGCTATGAGGTAGTCATTAGGTTCAGAACTAAAATCATCCATGAGATTGCCTCACACAATTTAAATACGTGTTTCTCACCGCCAGGCCCCCTATGGGTAACATGCCCCCTTTTGTATACAACCACCCAGTGCCTGGTCAACCCAACTACCATGGTCCTCAGATGCAACCAAATGCTGCTTTTAGGGGATCACCACCTCAGCAGGGCATTTCTTACAAGTAAGGAGAATGTCTTGCTTTTATAGTCACTGCTATTTTATCCATTGATATCATCCGTAAGATTTAAAAAATAGCCTAACCTGCTTCAATCGATTTAATATCCTGGTATAATTTTTTTTTTTCTAAAAAGTACAATTTAAAAAAAAACAAAACAAGAATCTTGAAAACATGCAGCACATTCAGATAAGTCTTGGAGAATACCTTTTTTATACCCGCAGAATGAATGGTACAATAAACAAACATAACAATTACACCATTCAACCGTTGGGCATCAAGGCCAGTTGATCAGCTTAAAAGTGGAATTTTTAATTAATATTGCAGATTTGGTATCTTGTGTGAATTAAATTTATTGTTAACTTTTTTATTCCAGTAACTTAATTTTTTTTTAAAATTATTTTAAAAAATTACATTTGACTCATTGATTGCCATATTTGAATAATTGACTTTGTGAGCAGTTAGATCACAAGCTTTCACAATGGTTACTTTCTCTGCCTTAAATTAAACAAATTTCAAGTGGGAGAAATTTTAAGTAAACACTGTCTTATTTTCATTCATCAAATGTATGGAAAGCCAATGAGTTGACAGGTTAATTTTCTTTATGTTTTTTTCAGTTAGTTCATTGTTTTTTTCAGTTAGTTCATAACTTGAAACATTGAAACAACTTGTGATTGTCTGTTGTAATTTTTTAAATTACTTAGTAGTCAAGGCGGAGTTGGTCCTATGCCTGGTGGCTACGGTATATTAGCTGGTGGTCAGGGTGGAGTCGGTCAAGTGGGAGCAGGCCAAATGGGACAGTTTAGCATGAACCCTGTTGTACAGAGTATTTTTGCTAGCGCTCATGGTCAGGTCAGTAGAGGTTTATTTAGATTTTTTTAAAAAAATTGTTTTGTGAAAAAAGAATAGTTAATTTAAATTGCTAAATGTCAAAAAAAAAAGAAAACAAATAATGTCTACTCATATTCCCTGTTTGCTTTAAGTCACTTGCGCAGTTTTATTTGTCATGTCCGCAGCAATGCCAACATGTCTTTGGGTACCTGTTCATGTTCTTTTCCATTTTTTCATTGGCCAGATTATGGATGGTGGCAGTAACCAAATTCAGAGAAGGAAGCAATAGGACATGCCAAGTAGGAAATTTATTCAACTATTTACTTTTTTTTGTTTTATGCTTTCATTATTCATATCCATAAACTGGTAGTGTTACACACCATTGTTTGTATTTGTGTAAGTTGGTAAGGGGCTGTTAAAGCTCTTAGTACAATGGGTCTGTTTGATCTGCCTCTTGATCCAACTGATCCATTTATAAAGTACAATCTAACATGGGCTTGATTCCACCCCACACACACCCCGAAAAACCACCCCCACCCATTATTTGTTTACAACTGATCCATTGGTCAACAGTTTGACATTTAAGTTTCAGCATCTTGAGGAAAAATTTTTTAAAACTTTGCTTTAAAATTTATGAAACTGAAGTAAAGAAGGTAGCAGTCAAAGAAAAATTATTTCTAAACTATTTAAAATACATACGTTTGTGCAGTTAACTTTTTTTTTTAGCCACAATTTTTAAAACCTCTCTTCAGTGCTCTGGTTTGCATTTGATCAACCAGCCTTTGTACTGGGTGGCCAAGTGGTCTAAACTGACTCCAAACAGCTGGCGGTCTGGAGTTAAATTCCAACTAAAGCCAACATCCCAAGCACCCCGGGTGAATGGGACTCGTTAGCCCTGGACAGAAACTCATCTAAGAGAGGGAAAACTATGAATTCAAACCAGGAGCCAGAAGGTTTCAATAAATTGATCGTGGGCCCTCAAAATATAGAAGAATAGAAATCAAACACTTGTTCTTAATGACACCCAATTTTTATATTTTTATCTAACAGTGCTACAAATATTACAGCTTTGATTTGTTGAGTAATAAATTCCTAAAAATGTTAACTTTCAGATCTGCTCTTTGATCATGATGACTCTACTCTAGCCTTGGCAGATCGGGATTACCAATGGCTTGGCCAAACTGGTCCATAATTCTTTTGCTAAAAAACTGATTCTAATAAGTGGTCTGGCTTTGGCACACTGGATTATAGACTTCTATAGTTATAACTTAAACCACTATATAAATTAGTGGTGATTTTATCATTTGATTTTTTTTTTTTTTAAAGTTACTTTTATCTCTGACACATTTTTAATCTTCCCTCTTGAAGTAATTTTCCCTGGAAATTATTTTTAATGTTGATTTAAAACATTGTATAGCATCTTGAAACCTTTTTAAACTTAATAAATGTTGCTGTTTTTTTAAATTAAAACTACTGATCACTCTAAGATTATTCACTATATTATGTTATTAACTATAGATAGAATCAACCTTGAAATGGATTAAATTGTCACTATAAGAAACTACACTTCATGGTGGATGGGGTGTCAGATTTTGTTTGAATTGTACACTGAATGTTTCATGTCCATATTAATTATGTAAGATTGATATTATCGAAATTGTATGTTGTGTGTCTGGCAGAAAGGAGTGATAGAAATTATTTTTAACTTCCATTGATTACGACCATGATTAGAGCCTCTAGCTAGGTGAGTAGCACCAAACTAGGGAAGATGTTCCATTAGATCATAAGATCATCTGAGGCATCATATTAAGTCCAGGAGAGAAATAAAATGAATTAGAATAATTTATTATAAAACATGGGGGAAAATGGGGGGAGGGGGGGATAATAAGATAATTTCTAGCTTGGGCTACCTGAGGTTATCTGCTCTTGAATAAATAAGAAAAGATATTCCAAATATTAATTATTGTTAAAAACACTGAACTATGATTTCTGAATGTTTTGGTAAGGAAAAGAAAATATACAGAGTGGGTTGATGGGAAAACCTGTGGCCCCTTTACAGCTTACGTTTGGGGTATCAGATCTTATTTTTTTTAGAAGTGCCAGACGTGTTTTGAATTCAACAAAATTATGGCATTTGTGACCTTCATCAGTTTAAATAAAAGTTTTTTTTTTAAACAGTATTTATTTTAAAATCATTTTAAAAATCTAAGTTTAATAAATTGAGCAAATCTTGTAAAACAAATTTGGAGCTAAACATGACACACTGCTGAGTAGAAACATTTAAGCGGCAAAGAGAAAAAAATAACATTTACACAGGTGGTGAGAGAAATATGCTTTATTATAACATGTATACATTTTAGAAACTAAATAATGCTTAGAGGTAAACAAATTTCTCAAAGTTGATGAATGAAATTCTAAATATTAGGCATGGTGATTTATTTCTTTAGTTGCCGTACTGACCTGTAAATGTAGCTCTTTTTTTTTTTTTGTGTGTGGAAATTTTTTTTAACTTACAGACCTACATGTTAAAACTTCATGCAAATATGTTACTAAATAAATAAGGTTTTATCTGTATTTGAGCACATTGTTACTTAGTGTCATTTATTCCATGAGGTGTGGAGCCATTGATTACTGGCTTAGGCTTTACTCAGCTCAGTTCAAATGTAGCTAAGTGGTGACACAGAACTGAATAAATAAAATCAAGTATTTTTTTAATGAGGATTATAATTATTTGTATTTAAACATTCAGTTTGACCGAATTATTTTTTTTTATGCCTAGCTGCAGTTAAAGTTCTTACTTAAAAAGCCCACGAAGTGTATGAAATAAAAAAAATTATTTTTTTATAGAAGGCTGTCTTCCTCTAAATTTACATTGCTTGTATTGGGAGAGAGGGTGGTGTTTCGTTAAGGGGAAATTATTGAGATAACTTATTTTAACGCAAAAAATTTCATTTCTATAATTACTTAAAGTAAAATTACATGAACATTTTTTTTTTCTATCAGATTTTCTCATTTCATTTTTTAACTGTTTGTTGTTTTCATTACTTGTATCCTTGAGTTAAACAGTTTTTTTTCCTTGTCATTATCATACACATAGTTTGAATTTTCATCGTGGACAAATTTAGGATTTTTCAGTAATTCCCCATGAATTATTTATTTATTCCTTGCCCATCCCAGCAAAGCAGTAATGGGGGGGGGGGGGGGGGGGGGGGGGGTGTTTTTTTTTTTTTTTTTTTTTTTTTTTAGTTTTATTTCATTTATTTTTTTTTTTAAATACCGGTATATAAGAATACTTTTGAAAAAACACTTTTATCTAAAATTGTAATAAAGTATATAATAAACGTCCCCCAAATTTTCAGAGTTGTTCCAATCATAAGACTTTAAAAATAAGACTTTAAAAATAAGACTTTAAATATAAGACTTTAAAAATAAGACTTTTTAAAAAAAAAAGGCATTGGCGCCCATGAACTCAATATTCTTTCCGAATCGCAAAACATAATTAATTTTACTTAGTAATTTTTTGTCTTAATTATAATTTATGTATCATAACTTATGACCTGATCGTATTTGTCATGGGGGGGGGGGGGGGGGAAGGGAGGTTATTTTAAGTTCAACTGG